AAGTGTTTTCACCACACAAAAAATAATTTTGGAGAGGTAATACATATGTTAATTAGCGTGATTTGGCCATTCCACAATGTATCCATGTATCAAAACCCATCATGCTGTACAGCATTAATGTATACAATTTTTATTTGACAACTTAATTACTTTTAAAAGATACTTTATAGATGTAATTGAAGTTATTCCAAAATTATCCTGGATTTCAGGATGGTCACAATCTATCATATGATTTCTTAAAATCAGAGAACATTTCCTGGCCATAGTCCCATACACGTACAGAGGTGTATGATGGAAGAAAGGTCACAGAGATTTAGCATTGCTGGCTTTGAAAAATGGAGGAAGGGGGCATTAATAAAGGAACGTGTACACCTCTAGCATCTGGAAAAGCTAAGGAAAGAGGTTCTCCCCTACAGCCTTCAAAGAGAAATGCAGCACCTTGATTTTAGCCTAGTGAGACCCATGTCAGACTCCTGATCTGTAGAACTCTAATATGATACATTTGTGCTGTTTCAGCCACTAAGTTTGTGATACTCTCTTACAGTAGCAATAGAAAATGAATAAGAATGCTAAGCATTTAATTTCCATTTATCATCCCTTGCTAGCTAGAAACATAAAAGGGTTCTTTGTATCAAAGCATTCAGTAAAGAATAAGCTAGTTTTAATTTTTCTACAGATAAAGCACATTCTAAAAGACTTTCTAGAGCCTGTTTCTCATTCAAAATATGTAGTGTTTTTATTATATTATAACTCAAAATTAACAACTTTTCTTCCACAACTAAATTGTAGACACCGTCTTCATACATAAATCCCATGAATCTTTCCTATGGGAGACATAAGAGTACAGATTTTCCATCTCTCTCTAGAATTTATGAGGTTTTACCCAAATGAATGTATTAAGTTTTTCTGTGTGATGTCTCTCTCAATCTTCAGAACAGTCTAATATTGATCATTCAAAAGATCCAATTTGATCTCTGATCAATAAAATCTGATGGGCTAATATGGACTTGGTTGCCCTGATGTGCATTCCCACAAACAGACTCTGAGACAAGGATTTAGGCGCAAGTAGTTCATGGGGAGGTATTTTCCGGAATCATGGATAAGTAAAACCTGGAAGGGAGGAAAACCTAATAATGGGTGTTTTTATAAGAGGGTTACTACTGAGGGCAATAGAGCCCCAGTCCCACTGGGAACTCTCCAGAGGCTGTGAACATGCCTCAGAATTGTCCCATAAAGAAGAAAATAACATGGGGTGTTTATCTACCAACTTATATCCCTTGTTGGCTGAGAGTTGCTCTCAAGGATGTGAATTTCCCAGCACACCTGGCCCACACTGCAGGAGCGGAGAATACCCCGTGTTCAGAGAACCTACCTGGGCATAGAAACGCAGAAAACAGCTGACACCGTGTATCAGGGACCTCCAAGCTAAGTCAAAAGGATATGAATGAGGGACTGACTGTGTCAGTATGATCTATTTCAGGGCAAAGGTATGTGATGTTAAATATGTACTACGCATGGATTTTCCAATCCCAACAGTGTGCAAAACCCAAAAGTGTGAAAACTAAAATTAACTTGATCTTGATTAAGAGTTATAATTTCCACCTAATGTCAGATAAATTGACATGATCACTTTCTGGGTTTTCTCAGATAATTTTCATGGCTTATTGGTCAGTTCAAATTTAATATTAGGTCACATGCAGCTGGCCGCCTTAGGTCATCGTGTTTACGATGTAAACCTACTCGTGAGAAAATCTATGGAAACGAATTGTCTCTACCATGAGGATTTTTCCAGACTGAACTCTTTGGGAAATTTAAGTACTTCCATGTAGACTTATTAATAGATATTGACATGTCATTAGTTATTTGTACCTATTTAATATATTGCAAATTTGTAATAGATCAAAAAGACAAATAAAGCATTTTTATTCATTATTTGGCCAATCCAATGAAATCTCCCAAATAGTAACAGATTCTGTTATTTCTTTTCTTGGTGGTTGATGGTTCTCAAGTCAACAGCTGGAGGAGAGGTGTGTCATGGTATAAGGAAAGGGCACTCACTTAGACCCAGACGTTCTTGAGTTCATGACCCACTTCTACCACATGTTATTCTGTGGCTTTGGAAAAGTCACTTAACCTGTTGAAAATTTAGTTTTACATGAGCATCACTCTCCATTACATGGGTAAAAATTGAGTCACTGAGAATGAACAGATTTCTGTGCACTGTACAATTCTGACAGTTTATTCTGCTCATATCCTCCCATTTTTGCCAACTTTCTATCCCCAAGTTGTTCCAAGAGCTTTCCACAACACATTGCCAAGCCTCTGACCTTCCCTTTCTTGCCTATCCTCATTCTGTTATCTCCCTTTTCGGCTGCTTCATTAAGAGAGGAGCTGATAATCTGGCATTGGGGCAAAACCATTACTTTGGAGAACACCACAAGGCCATTGCTAATTTTATCTTTGCCTTTAATGTACTAACGGGAAGATTTATTTTTACCTTTAATAGTAAGATATCCTAAGTCGAAGGCATGTGGGTACAGTTAAGTCTTAGTTCTATGAAGGTAGAGACTAGGTATGTTTTATTCCTTGTGATATCCAAGGACTCAGCAAATACATAGTACTTATTCAAACATTTGTTGAGGTTACTAGTTGATCCAAAATGTATTTAGTTGTTCAGAGATGCCAAATCTTGCTCAATATTAAGTCTGTGTTTTAGTATCGATCCAAACCTTAAACCTAAACCTACCACTCACTCCAACAGAACTCCTCTCTTATTTTAAGTGGAGATGGTATGAAGCAACGAGTCACCACTGACTATACATACCAGCAGTGCCTGATGCCAAATGGTTGGTGTGTTAACGTAATTTTGTGTACACAACAATGCACACATTCCAATATGGTTAAGTAAAATAGAAAAGTTTCAAGAGTGAGAGCACGTAGTAGATACTTCTCGGAAATCTATGTGTGATTACCTAACCTTAGCAATTGCAATTAGGGGAAGGAAAATGAGAAAGCAGAATTCAGCTGTGTTTGAGATTTATTTTATATAGGCCTTTTGTCCCTTATAAACAGAAAACTTGAAAAAGAAGGAGAAAAAGAAGAGAAGGGTGGAGGAGGAAAGCGAAAAGGAGAAACATGAAAAGAGGAAAGAGATAGAGAAGAAGAAAAGAAAGAAAAGAGACATCTAACATTAAAAAGTTTATTTCAAAATCTTTATTTAAAAAATGCTTTACACAGGGCAATAGAGCTCAGGGAAAACAATGCCCTCTCTTCGACTTGTCTTTCTAAGTAATGTGAGACAGTTGGGCCAACAATCGTGCTCCCCTCTACCTCTTCATCTCTCCATTTCCTAAATCTTAGAAGAAAATACACCTACAAGAGTTTGGCCCCCGAATCCAGTGAAACAGCCATGGAAGGGAGAGACCAGTAAAAATCTACTTCTACTTTGATGGTAAAGGTTGAGAGAAATGCGATCAAATGTTTGAACTTGAGACACAAACCGGGCTGAACACACTTGGTATTAACTCCGTCTCTTCCCTTGGCCTCAGGCCTTATCTTATTCCTCTAGCATTCCTTGGGATGGGAAAGGCAGGTACCCTCATATGCAAATCATGGTTAGAAGCATTAGCATGTCCACCTCCAAAAACCACATTATTCTGGAGTAGAACTGAACCCTGTCCAAGGGAGCTGAGGTACAGGACATGAGGCTCTGGAAACAGGGGCCATTTCTGTTTTTTTGTTTGTGTATGTGTGTTTGATTGTTTGTTTTTGTCTACTGCACCAATAAATTGGTTTCTTTTTTTTTCTTTTTTTAGACAGAGTATCGCTCTGTCACCCAGGCTGGAGTGCAGTGGCACGATCTCGGCTCACTGCAAACTCTGCCTCCCAGGTTCACGCCATTCTCTTGCCTCAGCCTACTGAGTAGCTGGGACTATAGGCACTCACCACCACACCTGGCTAATTTTTTGTATTTTTAGGCGAGACTGGGCTTCACCATGTTAGCCAGGATGGTCTCGATCTCCTGACCTCATGATCTGCCCTCCTTGGCCTCCCGAAGTGCTAGGATTACAGGTGTGAGCCACCGCACCCAGCCAAATTGGTTTCTTTTCTTAGAGTCTGATGCTAAAGAAGTCTTGACTCAGGAAAACCACAAGGGTGGGCTTGGGAAGACTCAGCAGGTTGTAATGACTCTCCAGCAAATCATGTCACCATGCCATTTGATGATGATAGGAAGAAAGAGCTTTGAAGATTCATGCATTGAGAGAATACGAGTTAATGAGTAAGCCAGATGTGTTTCAGGACTGGGACCCAGCAGTCACCAACCACCTCACACCTGCATTGGTAGCAAACCCGAGCTATGTCATAATTTTCGTTCCACCTCAGCAGATATTTTATAGGTGGAAAAACTGAGCCATAAAGTGAGTAAATGCCTCCCCCAAGGTCACAAGGTAAAGACAATGCAGTCACCAAATATTCTGTCTCCCCAACATCTGTCTTACTGGAATTCTTGATGGGTCGGTACCCCCTTATTATAGTACTGATTTTAACATACGTGGGTTTTGAATACTGGCTTTTAAAAAATCTTTTCAAATCATTTGTAAATTATGGAAATGTATACATCATATGAAACTTACCATTTTAATCATTTTTAAGTGTACAGTTTAGTGGCATTAAGTACTTTCACCTTGTTGTGCAGTGATCCATCACTATACCTTTTTCATCTGCTCCAACTGAAACTCTGCACTCATTAAACAATAACTTCCCTTTCCCTCATCCCTCCAGCCCCTGGCAACCACCTCTGAATGTTATTTTATAGCAGAAAGAAATATTAACTTTTGAGCTTGGTTTACAACCAAAAACCACAATTACATGCAGGAGAGAGGGGGTGGGAAAAAGAGGTTAACTCAGAACCCAGTGTACTTAGAAGACTCTGTGAGTGTGCTGTGTGTGTGTGTCTTTAAAAGACTCTCCACCTCCCAGCCCGCCTCCTCACACTTTGCCACTGGGTTGTTCAGTCCCCAGGTTCCCTCAGTCCCCAGAAGGAGCCAGCATGGACAATCTCCTTTATAGTTTGGGAAGCAGGTTTGTTGCCATGGAGTTCACATTTTGACTGGAGTTGAGAAGTATAAAGGTAACCGTTTGTTTTAGTTTCAACGATCTCGCAAAAAGATAGGCTGTTGCTCTTCTTCTGGAAAAGCCTGATTGGTAAGATTCCTTTAAGGGCTCAGCCCCAAAGAGCTTTATCCCATCCCCTCACAGACTAAAAACTAAAGCTTGCAGAGACCTCTGAAGGAAAACCTGTCCCGGGCTCTGTCACTTCACACCCATGGCTAACCCTGGAGGTGGTACTGTTTGCAATGGGAAACTTCACAATCACAAGAAACAGAGCAATGGCCTGCAAAGCAGAAACTGCACAAAGAATGGAATAGTGAAAGAAGCCCAGGTAAGAGGCACTCTCCCCTACTCTTCTCTGAATTACCTGAACATTTCACTATTTCTCTGTGAAGATATTTGGGACTGTCCTAACTTAAAGTTCATCTTATGAAGTGTTTTTATGTGTTTTGACTGTTGATTCCTTTAATAGAAAGTGCTTGGCTACCAAAAACTTTAGGTGTGGATTAAGGAGAAAATGTCTTCTGAATGCAAAAGAGGATACACACAGACACTCACACAGCTTTAGGCTCCCTAAAATACAAATGTACCTACTAGACTTTTGTCTCAAGCATTTTGTGGGGAGGGAAGAATTATGAAGGCTCCAACTCTTTGCATATGTTTTAGTCCAAGAGACCTGCTACAACTATCATGCTTCAGAAGAAAAAGAGGAAGTGAAAGTACATTTTGCTGACATTATGTGGTGGAGATGGCATTCTTCCTAGGTCCATGAGAAATGCATCTCTCTTTGAAAGGCGAGTTGTTATTGGTGTTTAGTGGAGCATTGTTATAGCTCACTACTTGATTTGAGGCTACAGTATTTCTTTGAAATGTGACGTCACAGACATTCTTTTCCAAACACTTCAGAAAGCATGGCTCATTGTGATACGCTGCACTCAGAAAACAGAACAGCATCTTTAAAACAAACTTGTAACTTGGCCCTTTTTTTTTTCTCTTATTGCACCAGGATGTTTGCAGAATATACTAGGCAGGAGGAACTCAAGGAAAGTTGTCAGCTTATTTTAAGAGAGAGCCTGGGTCTGTGAGGTCCTTATGTAAGGCAGTTCCCCACTCCCCACAGGACACCCCGTGTCACTCTGCTCTGAGCAGCAGGGGGTGAGCTCATCTGCCCCAGGAGCAAGCCCAAGCAGTCAAACAGGTAGCCTCCTATTGGGAAAGAGAAGTGGCACAGGGAGTCCCATGCAATCTTCCATCATTTGATCATCCGGAGAGCACGTATCCACCCACAGGAAAGGCAGATTGTTCTAAGATCACAGGCCAGGTGGGTCTGGCTGGGGCCAATCCTCCACTCAGTGAATTACATTCACGTGTGCAGTTGGAAGAGGCTAAAGGAGTTCTGGAGCCTGAGTTGTGTGTAAACAGGCTGTGGTCCCCAAAAGCATTACCCTCTTAACAAAAGGCACTGTCCAATCCTGGGATATGTCTATCTGAAACCTCAAAACTGACCTGTCCCAGCTGAGGATCTGAAAACTGGAGCAACATGAAGAGAAGGTGCTCAGCTCCTGTCAGTTGCATGAAGGAAATTGCAGTAATATCCACCACTTATGCATCACTAAATACCAATTCAGGCCACTACTCAAGATGATCCTTGCCTCTGGAATGCCTGTAACTCACAGGCTATTCACCTACTTACCCTTTTGATCATTCTGACCCTGAGGGATCTCATCTACGAAGAGATTCCTTCATAACTTTTCTCCCTTTTATTTATTTTATCTTGGTTTTATAATCACATTCGAGGTATGAGATTAGCAACTTAGACAGTTAAAACCACTCCTAAGTGAGGATAATACCCAGGATTCTAAAGGTTCATTATGAAGTGCAGCTGCAAGACTGTAAATATCCTTGGACACTGAGGCTTCCCTAAGAATAGTCGAAAACATCAGGGCTGCTGTTGCCTTCCTGAAGGGCTATCCAGAGCCTCTTGTCTCAGACACATTTAGGTGTCACTAAGCTACAATTGGCTTTCATTGAGAGCCTCAATTATGGCTTGAAAAATATTTTTCAGGACAACAAACAAAAAAAACCCCGGCTGAGATCATAGTGTAATGGAGCAAACGAGAGCTTATCGTCCCCTCCATGATGGGAACAAAGTTGTCTTTACTCTCATGTTCCTTTGCCACTAGTTTTGATCCTTGGGGCCCTTTAACAAACTAGGTCTAGACCAAAAGCCTTGCCTGTGGATAGAAGCAGTCTGCAAAGGCTTACAGAATCCTAGGCTGCTGGTCTCCCAAACACGTTCTGCCTGGCCTAAGGTCCTCTGCTGCAGCATCTAAGATCCTACCAGCCCCTCCAATGATCCTCCCACCCTTTCTCTTCCCACTTATTTGCAGCCACACAGCAACACTGTTATCTCTTTTATACATCAGAGGATCCTACAAGATTCTCTTGACAAAGAGTTCCCTGGCATAACAAACAATATGAAAATTACTATTAGGCAGTGCTCAGGAATCCTCTTTCCCTCTGGTCCAGCATAGGCTGCCATCCCTGCTCCAGCATGCAGGTTTGCTGCCCCAGTCTCAAAGCTGGCAAGGACCAGAGCCTTTCCAGTCTAGCAACCTTCTAGAGTTCCTTTCTGGAGATTTTATGGAGCTTGACTATTTTTCCTGGTTTTTTTTTTTTTCTTTTTCTTTAAACCTCGTATGTTCTGAGAATGCACAAAAACTGGTTTTCATCACTGATTAAGTCCATTTACTTGTTTATTCCCAATATGGCCTCCTACCTTTTACTTCTAACAGAAGACTATTGTACTAGAGGATTTGTTCTCCCTCCTCATGAGCATATCCACACTACAGACAGATGGGTGCTTATTGTCTTAATCTATAAACTTAATATTTCTTGTAATTTTTATTGAATCAAAATTTTTCCTAATGAATAGAAATTTCCTATTCCTTACTTAATTCTATATAATTACTTTGCAACTATTATCCACATAATTGCTTTTTAATTCCCAGCAATTATTTTCTACCTGGCCATAAACTTTTATTAGGAAAACCAAAACCCAGAAAGGTAGACAGACCTTGTGTCTCCATTGCATTTTCCCATAAGTAGTTTCTTAAGAGGATAGGGTCTGCATTTTCTTCTCTTAAACTAAACCTGCAGGATGAAAAAAAAAGTTGTAAAGTTTTCCTAATCATCCCTTTCCTGGAAAACAAAAACGTTTGAGGATTAGAGTTACTGTAATTCAAGGTTTATTGAGTTCTTGACCTGAATGCTGTAAAACCATGTATAGGTAATGAGCCCTAACACGTGGTTGCTTTTTTTTTTTTTTTCACCAATATTTATTAAGCATCTGTTATTCTTAGGACATATAAAGATAAATAAGAAGTTTACAACTTATCTGTTAGGAGAAGGCTTATATCAACATTTAAAAAATCACATCAAAGTTAAATGCTAGTGCAAGGACAACAGCTGTCATAAAGCAGACATAACTTGAGGACAAATGAGTGGTATAGATATTAGTACTGGAAGCTGGAGAAGAGCAAAAATAATAATAAATATCAATGTTCTGCTACATATCAGGAAGGGCTAAGCACTTTAGGTAGGCATCTCCTGTGCCTTCAAAACAGCCCCATGAAGTGGTAGTACACTGTCCATTATACAGATGGGGAAAGAAAAATCACTAAGGAACTTCCGAAGAATTACAATCAGCATGGCCAGGATTTGAACCCAAATCCAGGTTGCTTCAAAGCCAGTTCCTTTTTCAGTGTGTTCTAGGAAGTCACAGGTTGGGGTGGTCGGTGACAGCTTCTCAGAGCAGGGAAGACTCAAATTGAACCTTGAGACATTATAATTGCAGATAAAATAGGGAACTTATTCCTGGGGGCCAAAGAGGAAAAGACAGGAAAAGAACTCCGGAGATGAATGTAGGAGTTGCTAGTAAAGGGCATAAGAAAGGTCACACAGCATTCCAGGAAGCTGTGAGGCACAACAGGTCATATGACCTGAGAAACGTTTCTCAATTCAGTGAGCCTTCGTCGCAGACAGTGAGAGGCAGTGCTGTAGCTGAGGTGGTGCTCAGCAGATGCTGGAAGAAGAGAAAGGATTAAGCTGCATTACTATGGAAATCATTTCCAGTTTTAGAACCATTAAAGCTGAACTTCTGTTCTCCCCACCTTTCTACATCCTCTTGAAGCCTGCAATATCCTGAAGCTACTCTTCTGCTGTAGTATAAACTTATTCTAGAGAATAAGAGCCGTGACTGATTAAAAGTTTAATTGCAAACAGTGGTAGCTGCCTGACAGCCGTGGTAAGTACCAGGGTCTGTGGGGCTCACCTACGCTACCCCCTGATTGAAATAGAGGGCAATATTCTCGCCAATTACTAGGAGAACTCATAAACTAAAAGTTTTAGAAATCCCTTTCAACTGCTCTGAATCTTCATCCTACTCTTGTCTTTGGTATTCATTTTCTAATGCCTTGGTTTCTTGGCTCCTGTTTCCTTAAAACAATCCCCAACGTGGCAAGGTTTCTGCATGAACTCCTCAAGGAATCCCCATGTTTTCATGGGCTCATCATTTTAAAAACATTCTTGTGTGTCACGTGCTGCAGCCATTAAGATGAAAATATTCTCCCTCCATTTATAAATAGCTCAGAGTCTAAGTAGGAAAGAAAGACAAGCAATTATAGTATTTAATGGTAAGTACTATAATAAATGCTGTGGTTATCTATTCCTGTGTAACAGCGAATCCAAAACCCAGTGGCTTGAAACAACAACTATTGGATTGTTCTTGATTCAGGCAGGGGCTGCTAGGGATTGCCCTTCTCTGCTCCATGTGGTGTTTGCTGCAGATCAACTTGCCTGAGCATCCAAGATGACCCCATTCACATGTCCCAGACCTTGGTACCAGCTGTTGTCCAAAGCACCTTGTGTCTACTTCACCAGGACACACTCTGCATGTGGTCTCATTATTCTGCAGAGTAGCCCAGGCTTTTTTACAGGATGACTGGCTTCTAAGAGAGTAAAAATAGAAACTACAAGACCTCTTTTATGTTCTAGGGACATTTCTGCTACATTCTGCAGACAAAGCCAGTCATAGTCCAGCTAAGATGCAAGGGGAGGAGAAACAGATGCTGTTTTTTTCATGAGAGAAGCTGCAAAGTCACATTGAAAAAGGTTGTAAGGGATTGGAGAGATTATTATGACCATCTTTGGAAATAGTCCACCACAATAGAAATATAAGGACCTTGCATGGGAACACAGAACAATGTGTAACTGACCTACGCTAGGAAGACAACTTTCTTCAGAGAGACATTTGACCCAAGTCTTGAAAGC